CGACAGCGGCCAACACTAGGGACCCTGGAGGGGATGGACCGAAGACAATGACCAAGCCATTTGTCTCGTGCCATCCCTCTCCAGCCTTCCACAAACCTTGGGCAGGGACACCACTCCTACACCCTGGCTAATAGCACTCCATGGACCCAGCCTCCATGACTTGATCTCACTTCCCTTTAAACTCTGTTCTAGTTCTAGCCTTCACAGCCTCCTGCAGCAAGGAGTTCCACAGGTTGACTCTTTGCTTTGTGAAGAACAACTTTCTGTTACTAGTTTGAAGCCTGCTACCCATTCCTTTCCTTTGGTGTCCTCTAGTCCTTCTTTATGGGAACTCATGAAGAACTTTTCTGTATGCACCCTCTCCACCCAACTCCTGCTTTTAGAGACCTCTATCCTGTCCCCGCTCCATCTCCTCTTTTCTAAGCTGAACAGTCCCAGTCTCTGTAGCCTTTCTTCATCTTGGACCTGTTCCCAACCCCTGATCATTTTAGTTGCCCTCCCCTCTCCCAGCCTCTCTCTTCCCCTCTCCCACCTCCTTTTCCCAGTCTCCCCCAGTTTTGTTCAATAAAGACAGATTCCATTTTTGAACACAATTGTCCTTTATTTTGTACATCAAGAAGAGGGGCTAGGGAAGGGTAAGTGGAAGGAGGTGAGGGAGGAATGGGGTATGCGCCCCTGATGGGGAGGACTGGGCTTGCTCTGCGGGCTTTTGGGGTGGAAGCTCTCCTGCAGCCCCCCAATTGCCCCCTCTCCCCAGATGGCAGCCTGCAGCAAGTGCAGCCGGTCTGATGGCCAAGTGCTGTGATGTGCCCAGTGTGGGTACTCCGGGCAATCCAAGCCAGGACTGCTTTGCAAGCGGGGCACCCCTGAGAACTGTCTGTCCGGGGTGGGGGTCGGGACCCTTTAAGCACAGCCCTCGGCTAGCCTGAGACAGCATCTCCACGCTCTAAGTCCTCCTCTGATGCCCTGCCGGCACTGCTTCTGGCCATCCTTAAGCCTGGTTCAGGGTCCACTTAATGTGGACATGCTAGTTCGAATTAGCAAAAAGCTAATTCGAACTAGTTTTTTAGTCTGGATCCATTAGTTCGAATTAGCTTAGTTCGAATTAACTAATTCAAACTAAGTTAGTTCAAATTAACGTTGTAGTGTAGACGTACCCATACAGATTCAACTTAAGAACAAACCTACAGTCCCTATCTTCTACGTAACCCGGGGACTGCCTGTAGTTTAAAAACTTCTTGTTGCTGGCCATAGATTTCTCTTTGTGGCCTTTTGCATCCCTTTTGCAATTCAGTTTATTTTCAACCAGTTGGATGAAACAGAGATATCAAAAAGCTCATGTAATTGCTTGCATTTGGTATGCTCACAAAACATCAATATTATAAGTTTTTTAGTTTTTTGTTCCACAAACAATTTAAGATCTATGCAACTGGGTCTGAACAATGTAACATTTAAAATGACTTCCTAACTTCTCAGAAGTCGAAGTGGGATGCCTCTGTCAGAATCTGCATAGGTGGAGCCCTTTCTATCTGGAGGCAGTGCAGGCTTGAAAGCCAAAGTGTTTGAAATTGTTCCACATAATATTGTGGACTCTTGTATGATACCTTGTGAATCTCAGGCAATGCAAAACACAGATGGGAACTTGTTCTGAATTCTGCTCTTAAAACCACCCTTCTCAAGGAACATCTCTTTGCAGTGCTTTGTGAAGAAATGGGAGTAGAGCACAATGTTTTGTTGTTTCCCATGGAATAAAGGTGGCTATCCAGAAGAAAAGTTTTCCAACACATTTATGAATTGAAAACTGAATTTCTACTTTTTCTATTGAATTTGAATTTCAACTATGCTCACATAGTTTTATTCCCACCGACTTGTGTTTATGTCTTACCTTAATGATATTTTTGATACATTGAATTTTCTAAATGTCTCATTCCAAGGATCAAAAAGTACTATTTTTGACCACCACAACACAATACAATAATTCCTCATTTAACGCTATAGATATGTTTCAGAAAATGATCGTGTTAAGTGAAACCGTGTTATGCAGGGTCAATTTTCCCATTGAAAATAATGGAAAAGGTGGGGGTTGCGTTTCAAGTGGTGGTGTCTGTTGGGACCGGGACATAAAGTTGGGGGAGAAAGGGGATTGGGTTACAGCATGGAGGGGAGGTGTTTGGCTCTGGGGGAGGAGAGGGGAGGGGAATTGGGTTGAGAGTATGCCCCTGTGACGAGTCTGTTGGGACCCGTCTGGCGAGGGGGGGGTTGCTGGGGAATGGCACGGTGAGCGGCGAACCCGCCACTACTTTGCAGGAGAAGCTCCACACATCCACCAGCAATGGGCTGGGTGGGGAAATCATGTTATTCTGGAGACGGTCATGTAATTCAAAAAACGTTCCCTAAAAAATAATCATGCTATTGCAAAAATGTGTTTAGCAGGCATGTGTTAAATGAGAAATTACTGTATCAGGATTCAAGAGAAAGTTCGCTCTCTGGAAAACAATTATTAAAACTTGTTTACACATTCCATTTCCATTGCTAACCACAATGAGCATTGAAACAGAATCTGGCTCCACAACACTCAGCGGTTCAATCGAGAATCACTGGACTTCTCTCAGAGCCAATTTGGATAATTATCTTCCCAAAGGAAATGCACCCCAAAATACTGAATTATTCAACCCTTTGTAGCTGAGTCAGTAACTTTGTACCATTTCTCAAATGACATTCAGAAGAAGATGATTGAATTTCAGATTGATATATCACTGCAAATTAATTTAAAAACAGTCTTTGGGATTTTTTTTTAGTTGAAAGTTGAACATCCAGCTTTGTCAAAGTGTGCAATCAAAGCTCTTTTACTGTTTGGTTCATCAGATTATGTGCAGTCACTGTGGTAAAGACTGTTTGAGACTAGAAGTGGAGGACAACCTCAGAGTGTCAGTTTAAAAAAAATCTCCCCAGAAATTGATAAACTGGCTGCAAAGGGACAGGCCTTTACATCAATTAAATTGCCTTTGCCTGTAAATTTCAAATACAGATATTTAAAGTTCTATTAAGGTTTGTTTTAGGCTTATAAGTAGGATATCAAACATATTCTTCCATATATCTATTTTTGACTGGATGAGAAGGCAGTGACTAACCAAAAATTGGGGGCAAGGGTTGGTTCAGCTCAAAAAGTTTGAAAACAATTGTTGTAGAGGCAGCAAGAGACATCTGTCACCCATATCAGTGTCTGCAACTTCCACAAATGAGGACAATATCTGTCATATTCTGCATGAAGGATTCCTTATGCATCCCCTTTCCAATTCTCTGGTGGTTTCTACTGTCTCATAAAAATAAGACTTCTAGTTCTCCTTTGTCAACTACACCAGATAAGAAACAAAGATGATACGTTCCTCTGCCATGTTGGTCATTGGGGCAGCAAACTATGGTTCTAAAATGTCTAGGTTAGATATCAGTTCTGATCATAAGAAAAATCTGGAAGTAAAATTGTGGATAAGAGAACACTGAATTTAGAATGTAGTCAATTTTTAAAAGACTTAACATCTTAGCATCAGTAGAATATACTTTTAGCAGAATTGAATTGCTTTGGCCAAAACTTAGATTATGTATTTTAAGAGTAATTAAATTGGGAAAAATAATAAATATGTAAGGAGAGATGTAAAAGACTGGCAGGCCCAAGAAGTTAGTAGATTCATTTATAGTGTAGCAACATTATTTGAGGGGAATGTTTTGAAACCAGGAGATTAGGAAATGGCATAGTTGCTTATCATTCATTACAGGAACCCAACTGAATGTTAAAAATATCTTAAAATACTAACACTAGAATACTAATAAAAACTTAATAAAAGTATTTAGTCTCCACCCTAAGCCTGTAGTTGTGGAGGTAGCAGGTCCACTCTTCTCCTTTCTGCCCTTCAGAGGCAGAAGCAGAAGGGTACTCACTGATTATATGCAGAAAAGCAGATGATTTAAAGCCAGGAATAATTTCTCATATCTGGCACTTGGAGGCACAAAATATCATGTGTGGAAGACATGTAGACAACCACTTAATGAAGAACCAAAAGCTTGAAATTATGTAAGGAAACCATAAGAATACAATAAATACATCTACTAACTTCTTGGGCCTGCCAGTCTTCATGTTCCTAAACAGTGTCATGTTTAAGACTCTTGCTTCAAAAGTTTAGGAGTCATGAGTCATGACTTCAGAAGTTTAGGAGTCATGAGTCATAAACACGTTTAGGAACATGACTCCTAAACTTCTGAAGAAAGAGGTTCTCAATCTCCTCCACACTGCAGCTATGGAATTAGTTCCCGCTCTGTACAGAGTAAGGGGATTCTATTACAAATACTGTCTGGTCCTCAGAAAAGGAGGACAGATGGAGATTGACCCTAGACCTCATAATGAGTACCTTTCTCAAGGTAAAGAAGTTCAAGACACTTGCAGCTAGCATACCCATCCCTAGATTCATGGTATTGATTCACAAATCTCAGCCTTTTAAGACATATATATTCATATCACAATACAACTCTCTCAAGAGGTTTCTACACTTTCTTGTTGATCAGAACCACTATCGGTATTGGATCCAGCTATTTGGACACTCTGCCCTTTCCTGTGTGTTCACAGAAGTTATGGAAGTATTTGCCATGCAGCTTCGTCATTCAGGGAATGATCATCTTCTCTTTTCTTGATGATTGGTTTCTCAAGGAACATTTTTATACTGAAGTTTGAATTTGTGTAGAGACAGCTATGACTCTATTCAGTATGGTTGGCCTTCAGCACAAAACCAGAAAGTCATCCCTCTTACCTGTGCAATGGATAGAGTACATAGGGACCATTTTTGATGCTACGACATCCAGAGCTTACATTCCAGAGAGTGCCTCTCTTTGTCACATTTTAGCTGCTGAGTTGAATTGAGCTCTCAAGTGGCTGTCAGGCCATATCTACAATTCCTTGGCCACATGGCACATGCATCTTTGTCACTATACACACTCACCTAGGGTGTGACCAGATAGCAAGTGTGAAAAATTGTGAAAGGAGTAATGGGAACCTTTATAAGAATCAGCCCTGAATATTGAGACTGTCCCTATTAAATCAGAACATCTGGTCACCCTACACTTACCTACATATCTGTTGCTTCCAAATCTCTCTCAGAACAGTTTATATCCCTAGCAGAAGTCTAAAAAAAAATCTTTCCATCCCATGTCTTATGTTACTTTCCCTCAAGTAGTGGAAGAATCCAGATAAGGTATTCTCAGGGTTATCATCAACCCTTTTGCCCACTATCACAGTAGTTTTGGACACTTCCCTTCTAGAATGAGGAGCTCATCTGCAATATCATGCTATCCAGGGCATCTGGACCATTCAGAAGTACATCCTTCATGCTGATATTTTAGAGCTCAGGGCCATAATTCTCCAGTCATGATACTGTGACATACATGAGGGTCAGTATGGGTTATATAAATTGTTATAGGCATACACTATAGGACAAATCAAATTTCAGAACAGAAGGGAGATGCAGAGGAGGGGGGTAAATGTCGGCTAATGATATTAGAGGTGATAATTGGGGAAGCTGTCTTTGTAATGGGTAAGATAACTAGAGTGTTTGTTGAGATCCACTTGTAAAGTGTCGAATTTTAGCATGAATGACAGTTCAGAAGATTCCCTTTCAAGTGCAGATTTAAAAGGTCTTTGGAGCAGGATGCAGGTAGTTAAGTCGTTGAGACAATGTCCTTTCTGGTTGAAATGGCAAAAAACTGTTTTTTCTTTGTGATCCTGTCTAATATCTGTTTTGTGGGCATTGATCCTTTGGCGAAGTGTCTGAGACGTTTGTCCAATGTACATAGCAGACGGACACTTTCGGCACATGATAGCATAAATTATATTTCTGGATGCGCAGGAATACGTATTCTTGATCTTATAACACTCTAGTTATCTTACGCATTACAAAGACAGCTTCCCCAATTATCACCTCTAATATCATTAGCCCACAGACATTTACCCCCCCCCCGCATCCCCCTTCTGTTCTGAAATTTGATTTGTCCTTTTCATATGTGTTCATTTTTTAAAATTGTAACTATTTTCTTACAATTGGAAGTGTCTGGCCCACGAAAGCTCATCATCTAATAAACCATCTTGTTAGTCTTTAAAGTGCTACATAGTCCTGTATTTTGCTTAAAGACTAAGAAATTGATTTGGGCATAAGCTTTTGCGTGCTGGAACCCATTTCATCAGGTGCCACAGGACTCCTAATTGTTTTTGTTCTAAGAGTGTTGAAATTTGTAAATAAATGCATATACAAGAGGCAAATGTTGTTAATAATGAATAAAATTTGACTCAAGTGAATGGAATCATATAAAGGTGTTTAAATATCTGTCATGGCCTGCTTCATAGCATTATGTCATCTTAGTGTACTGTACTCTAACGGAAGCTAATAAATTGGTGCACAGACAAAGTCCACTGAAAAAGTGGAAACATCTTAATACTGTCTTTCAAAGTTACACACTCAAGAGGAAGAACTGCTGCAGCAACATTCTGCTGACTTGATAGTCATATCTGTGGTTGTATGCAGTGTTGTAGTCATATTGATTCAAGGAGTAGGACAGGGTAAGTGCAATAATATATTTTATTGGACTAACTTTTCTCTCCAGTGGAAGTTACCTCATTTTTCTAATATCTGTAGATGTACAACAAGTAGTCCTGTGGCACTTAAGAAACTAAGAAAAAATATATAGTATCATGAGCTTTTGTTGGCAAACCCCACTTCTTCAGATGAGCTGGAAGCTGAAATTGAAAAAAATGTAAACGTACAGTTATTTGGGGTTTTTTTTCTTCTTAATCTATTGAATAGTGAAGTGATTCTCAAATCATCTTTGGTATGTGTGCATGTGTGTAAATAATAATTGATATTTTTCTGCAGGTTGGCCTGGATGGAAATGGGAAAATAACCTGTGCGACCCTAGCCTGTTATTTATCAAACTGTAGTCTCTTTAGATTGTCTGTTACCCAAAGTTACAGCTACTCAGATTTCAGGGAGGACCTGAAAAAAGTCTATATACAAACAGGGCTGGAGGGCCAGAACACTGTTTTACTCATCACTGATTCAGATATAGTTCAGGTACATGCTTTTTTACATGATGTTTTTGCTGAAGTTAAGAGTATGTGCATTCATGGTTTTTTACAGTTGTACCATTGTGCAGATACAAACACATTCTGTATAAATGGAGACCATAGGGTGAAAATTAGGCTCTTTAAAAGTTTGATCTTGCTTCTTTTTTAAGTCAATAGCAAAACTCACATTGATGCAGTATTGGAGTTTGATTATATGCATATAGTGGCAAACCTATTTCCTAAACTGTATTCCTGTTTCACAAAAATGTGAAAAAATAAGCATCAATTTAAATAATTATAAAATGAAATATTTCATAAGAGCTATCTCACACTTCAATAAATTGATTAGTTGGCAAAATATATTCACAGTTCACCCATAGTTGAAAGAACTAGGTATTTGACCTTATACTTCAAAAAGTACTTGTGGCCGTAAGTTTCATGATGTACCTGCATGCATCATTATGTACATTTTTTGTATTTTTATATGAGTCCAAAGCCCACAGCTAAGGCATAAACATGGAGACCTAAGAGATGAGTTAGAAATTATGGGGAGTATGGGCTGTTTTAGCAGAGATAACGGAGAGACCAGATAAAATCAAATCAGTATTTTAGTTGCCTGTATACTAATGAGAAATATGGAGAATAAACAGGAAGAACTTGAAATGCCTGCTCCTGTACCCTACCTCCTGCCCAGATCCTGCACCCCCATCCCTATCCCACTCACTGGCAGCTCTATCCCACACATTGGACCCCCTCATTTTTGGCCCCACCCCAGAGCCCTAGGGAGGCCCACGAAATCCACCAACCCTGGAACCCCAGAAGAGTTAAATCTGGCCTGAGGCCTTGAACCTTAGTTCTCCCTGCCATGGGAGTGAAGTGTTGGGGGGGGGGGCGGGATTTGGGGGGGTGGTGTGGTTTGGTTTGGTTTGGTTT